GGAAAATGTTAAAAAAAAATCGGAAAAAAACCGTGGCTTGATTTGTTGTGTTGTTGGGTGTATTTCGAGAGGAAATCCTGGCTTGAGTTTTTACCGGTTTTCCAATAAACAGTGTTAATCTGAATGAAGAAATAAATTGCATACATTGTACCTATTAGATACAATAAATAAAAATTTCAATTTAGTAAAAATCGTCAAACAAATAAGTCGTCTATATTTAAACAGCATTTAGCATTATTAAAAGCGTTGATTAAGAAAGTCTCCAATTAACGGTATATATAATATTATGTTGCCATTCGTAGGTATATTTTGTTGTTTAAAATGCAGTTGTCGGCGTTTTTTAGGGAACTCAAATATAAAAAAGGTTATGTTTGTGCAAAAATAATTTTTTACTTATCATTAGTTAATTCTGCACCAACAAATGTACTTACCGAATTAGATCCTATGGCAAAATATGAAAATGCAACGATTTAGTTCTTGAATTTTATTTAAAAACATAATAATTCACCATGATCCCTTAGATAAAATGCACACACGTAACTATATAAGCATTTAAGCGTGGAGTTTCTTAATCAATGATATAAGGAATAATTATTATAATCAATCGAAATCGAATACTAAAAAAGTTTTTTAATTTTTTCCTTGCAACGTAAAACAAAAATAACGTGCTAGATTTAGATGTGCAATTGAAGAAAATTATTCGAGTAAGACTTCTGCCTTCCTCTCTTTTGTGAAAAAACTACCTATTTATTTAAAAATGATGTATAATCTGTGCTCTAAATGTATTATTTGCAATTCTTAAATTGACACAATGCTACCGAAGTCCACCAAATGGAGCACGCGTTGCAAAACCCCGATACTTCTTTAGCGTAAACCATTGATTTTTTTAATAAAATATGTGACGCGCTCCAAAAAAACGAACCTTCGGTTCAAAAATGAAATTTTACACTAAAGGCGATTAAAGTTCTTCGGAATTTAGTAGAATTGTCAATTTTTAAGATAAACAAATAACAAAGATCTTGTATTTTTTGGCATTAATAAATTATCATTATTTTTTATTATTAATATTATCACCTAAAACCATCATCAACCTCAAAAATCTTTTGAACCTAAGGTTTGTTTTCTCGAAGCACGTCACATGGTAAATTCTCATATAACTTGTTTCGATGCTGTATCCACTTATTTTTGTGAAAACTAATTCTCGCTCAAGGTTTTTTTTAGTGTAATGAGCATGTAGCATTTTAAGGTAATGGGAACTTAAATTATGACAACCCTAATCTATTAATTTTTTCCTAAAATGCAGGCTTTATGTTGCAAATGTCACGTAAGTTACCGGTCACCAACTGCAATATCCTAACATCGATGAATATTTCAACAAAATGGCCGTTCAAACAACTAATGTTAGTGCTTGATTAACTAAAAATAGACTTAAGATTGACAAAAAATTATTTTACCGAAATCGGCAGTAAAGTAGTCAACAATCGTAAATTAAAATAAATCTGCAGTAACGTTCTACTTTACTGCCGATTTCGGATAAAATAATTTTTCGTCAATCTTAAGTCTATTTTTAGTTAATCAAGCACTAACATTAGTTGTTTCAACAGCCATTTTGTTAAAATATTCATCAATGTTAGGATATTGCAGTTGGTGACCGGTAACTTACGTGACATTTGCAACATAAAGCCTGCATTTTAGGAAAAAATTAATAGATTAGGGTTGTCATAATTTAAGTTCCCATTACCTTGAAATGCTACATGCTTATTACACTAAAAAAAAACCTTGAGCGAGAATTAGTTTTCACAAAAATAAGTGGATACAGCATCGAAACAAGTTATATGAGAATTGACCACATATAAAGTCTATTTTTTGAATGTTTTACATTGCGTCATCAATTTGTCAAATGTTTTTCATGTATGTTTTTCATCATACATCCCACATAACACACTTATACAAAGAAAACAGCAAATTTTAATGTCTGTACTTGATGGCAAATTGATGTCGCTATATTAAACATCACATTCGCCAATACTAAATAAAATCTGATACCTGTCAACTGATCTAACCTAATTATTTTTCCTTTATTTATTTTTATTTCTCGGAATAAAAATTATGAAATAGGTCCTTCTGGAGTAGAAAAAGCATAATATTACACTTGGGATAATGCGCATTACTCGCACTAATAATTTACTTCTCTCGCCTGGCAGCTCGAGATGTAAACCTTATCCTAGTGAATAATAGACTGAATTATATAATAATTTACTATTAAAAATACAATTTATTAACGGAGGAGTGATTTTTTAAAGGGTCGTATTTCCATTTGCAACACATTTTCAAAAAACGAATATAACTTGTATAGGTTAGGGCTATATAGATTATGTAAAAAAAAATTCTGATAAATATATAATACTACTTCAGACCTGCTGTCGTATTGGTGGTTTAAATTTAAATATTTTTAGCAATGGTATTTTTAAAAATAATTTTGTATGAAATCATTTTGGAAATGTGCCTTTTTGCTATGTACAAACTTGGAAATAATCTTTTTTTATTGAATACTGTTTTAAAATAATATTTGGAAAAATATCTTTATTGTGCTAACAATATTGAAAAATATGTAAGGCTTATATTTTAAGGATATCCATCTCTGGCTCATTACATAAACACATCACTTCTTCATCATATTCTTGACAACATCTTGTGCAACATATTCACCATTTAATATATGCCTTTTAACCATACCTTTGAGATTTTGTCGAAAAATGACATTCAAGTAAAAATGGAAATACGGCCTTTTGAAAAATCACTTCTCAACTAGCTTTAGTCTATTTAATAGTATATTATGTATCAAGTTTGATAAACGCCATTTTATACACGAATTTAATTCGCAAGCTCGCCCGTGCCTAAATTAATGAGTGTATAGAAAAGTTTATAAACGAGGTGCATACTATACTTTTTCCACGACAAATACTTATTATTATCTTAAAATTATTTAAATCTTAAATTTGTATAGAGCGCCATCTATGAAATAAAAGGGGAATCTGTGTGTCACCATCAAATGTCACATTTTTATATTTTATAAACACAGATATAAATCGAAATGTATTTCTTGAAAATTTAGTTTTTCACAGTGAAAGTAATGAAAATGTTTTATGAGGACTTTACAGTGGAGTCCGTGCCCGAATTTAAGTTATAGTTTACTGCCGGCCAAATTAAAAGGTCAGTACTACGTTCATATACACTTTTCAAATATTGGCGTTGAGAAACTATCTAATACTTTTGTATTTTTATTGAGATAATAATAGTTATTTACGTGTCAAGCTTTATAAATGAATCTTTACGGGCGATCTGGAAGTTTGTGAGGTGAGCGACGCAGGAGCGAACCCCATAATCCAGTAGGCCTAGTAAAGATTAATTGCAAAGCGTGATACGTACAAACTTTTATTTTCACCTTTAGATAACTATTTTTAAATTAAAAATTTTATTTAATGTGTCAAATCTGACATTTCATTTTATAAATTGCTTTTCTACAATCCTGTAAAACTTTACAGGTCTTTTATACATCCCGTAAAATATTATAGGTCTGTTTCCATAATGTATCGTTTACTTGGATACAAAAACAACAAAATTAACCTATAAAATGTCATTTACTAAGAAGGTGGAAATAAAATAATTTTCACATTTAGTATTATTTAACAAGAAATGCGATTGTATGACATTTGACAACTGTCAACTAACTTAAAACTAACTTTAGCCCGTAACTAAAAACCTGTTGCTAACTTCAGCCCGTGACTAAAGCGCCATAAAGCCATAACTTGTCAATGTGTATTTAAAAGGTCACTTAGTGTCATGGAAACATGTACGATAAAGGGCGTTTTAAAGGTGGGAGTAGAAAAAGTTAATTATAGGGTTGCCATGTGTCTAAAATTTTAGTCAATGACTACTACCAATAGTAAATTATAAAATGTATTAAATAATATGTTAAATTAAACATAAAATCAATTTAAATACATTAGTTCTATCATATGAAGAAACAAATAAATACCCAAATATCATTATGCTTCTCAAGGAAGCAACCTTTCAGACCAAAACGAAAAAATTTAATGCATAAATTTTGTATTTTTAAAACTTAACTTGAATGAGTAGTAAATCTTTAACGGAATTAAAATATGTTTTAAGCTAAGCCGTGGTAATACCACGGTTAATGTGGTGGTAAAGGAAAAATCCTGTTTGAACCCGGCGCATTCGCCATTTTTGCAACATATTATTTACGTAAATTACACTCTTAAATATTATATGTATAAAATGCATATTATATTTAATAACTATAATAATATAATATAATATTATCATACGGTGTGACCCATTTGTTTGTGACTCACCCCTGTAAAATCTTTATTTATGGTGCGATTTTAACCGAATTTGTTTTAAAGTGTAGATCCAACTTTATAAATAAATAATAAATACTATAATAGTATTAATTTTCATTGTACCGTTCAGTTTACTATTTTAATTACCGCTTTATCATGTTATTACATTACCAAAACCAAAGAGAAAAAATACGAAAAAATATCCAGTTTTTATATATAAAAACTGGTTTATTAAGGTGCTTAAAATCTTTCCCAATCTTTCTGAAGTTGATTTAGAAACTAAAAACAAAAGTTTTATTTATTTTGTGATTAATAAGGCCAAAGTACCTTTTATTAATGCTCTAAATATTTTACCATTTTAAAATTTGTTTCCTTAACTTTCTTTATTTTTTTTATCAAGATTCCTTTTATAAAGCATAAAGAAAATAATCCCAAAGGCTTTTATATACGGAGAACTTAAGAACTTCTTTGTTTAATTCCACCCCAATTTAATAGAAGACAAGAACTGGATTTTTATTTATATTAAATAATTAATTACATTCACAACTCGACAATATTATTTTATTTAAAATTAATATATTCAGTTTAAATTTTTAGATTTAATAATCTTTAATAATGTTCATAATATTTTTTCAGGTTATGATCTTATCGAATGGCTTATGGAGCGCCTCGAGATTGAAGAATCTGGTAAGAGTCAACTAGGTAGCTGTTATAATTTTTCTTAAAATTAATTTTTTTGAAACATTTTTTACAGAGGCACTCAATATCGCCAATCAACTTTGTCAGTATGGTTATTTTTTCCCTATTAACGATTCCAAAAATTTAGTTGTTAAAGATGACAGTTCCCTGTACAGATTTCAGGTAAGAAAATTGACAGGCCATTTTAACAGCAGATATTAATATTATTACATGGATCCCACAATTTTAATTTTTGATGAATATATTTTTTATTATTATTATAATAATTTAAGTATGTTATGAATATATTTAAATAAATTTTGCATATTTCATTTCAAAATATGTTATGTTAATTGCTACATAAGCATAAAATTCGAAATATTAATTACCAAACTTAATACATAACTCACCCACTAAAATGTAATCGTAAATAGCAACATTGTTGAAATGGCACACAAATATTTGTTCGAAATACAATTTAATTTAACTAGTTTCAAAATACAGTTTAATTGGACATAAAATTAATTAATATTTAATTGTTTTTGCATTTATTTTTAGTCTCCTTACTACTGGCCTTGGCAAAATAGACCACCTGATAACATTGAATATGCCATTTACTTAGCCAAAAGAACATTAAGAAACAAACAGAGACATGGACTGGAAGAATACGAACTGGAAGCTTTAAGTAACCTTAAGAAAAATTTAGCAAACAAATGGGATTTCATTACTATGCAAGCAGAAGAACAAGTAAGCAAACAAAAGTTATATTTTTAGGTTTTTTATCAAGATAAACGGATTTTTTTTAACAATTCGAGTAGGCACCTATTTGATAAGATATTTTTACAATTTAGTACATTACTTCAACATAAATAATTACATATTTTAAGAAAAATAAAGCAAATAATCAAAGTACCCACAGACCCTCTTTTTTATTAACGTGCGCCAGTGACGAACTATCTTTTTTTAGGTAATCATTTTTTTTTTGTCTTCTATAAATAGTCTCTTTTAAAATGCGGAAGATCACCGTTTCTCGTAAATGTAGCTTCATCAGTAAACAAAATGTATCTTGAAAAAGGACAACTTTGGTTATATTTTAAACAAATATTCGAAATATTTCGAATATTTGTATAAAATGTATTTGATAAAACGTACATCTCGTTTATTCATTTCTACATTATAAAAGTCTTGCTTCAAAGTCTTGAAGCAAAAAAGCCTGCAATTTTTAAATATGGTATAGGTAGAGCTGCTGACTGTAGAATACCGTAAATAATACCTTCATATGTTTTCACCTGCCTAGTCAATACTCTGGTGCTATTTCTTAGACTTTTAAACAAAATCTCCTTTTTGGATTATCTAGATTCGGGAGAAATGTTTACCATTTATGGCAAATGTATTTAAATCTTACCCATGCTTAATATCATCTCCGTCATTTTATAAAAGGGTAATAAATGTTCTCGTCTACGATCCAATTCTTTTTACTTGCAAGAAGACTCCCAATTAATAAAAGAAATTTATAAGTCTTAAATAACACTGTAATGACATTTGATTTCACAGTGAATAAAAAGCGGCTAACTTGAGTATTTGAAATTTATGAGATTACCGTAAGCCGCGTAGACAACAATCAAGGACCAAAACTTTTTAAATTTAAAAACAAAATTTATTTAAAAATGGTGATATGTTAAACGGTGAAAAATTTCAATAACTTCATCCAAGCCCCGTTTGTAAAAAAATAATTTTTTTCTCGTTTTTACTTTGAAATAATGAAGTATTATGTCTAACCTTGAAACGTTTTTCAAATTTTTCGAATTGGAATCTTAGCAACGAAAATATGATTTTTTTCAAAAAGAGTACATTTAAGGCTTTTTTGTAGGCAATACACTTAGTCTTTTTAGGAACAAGAAGATAAGATGGTGAAAGAATGTTCCTGAAATAATTCTGAACAAGCGACAAGCAACAAACTTCCATTATTTTCAGAGGGCCTAAGCAAAGACCATTCTTTCAAAATAACACTTTGGTGAAAGTTTGAGAAAACTAAACCTAAACCGATATTAACGTTCGTCTGGCATTGGTATTTTAACAGACGGGAATTGTTTTTGAATCTTGATTCTTGGTGGTTTTGGTTTAATCTGAAACTTAAATTTGACAACTGAATCACAATCAGAAGGTCAAAATTATGAAAAAAAACATGTCACGAAGGTTAATATCGGTTAAGGTTTAGTTTTCGCAAATTTTCACCAAAATGTCATTTTGAAAAAGTGATCTTTGCTTAGGCGTCTCTGAAAATAATGGAAGTTTGTTGCTTGTCGCTTCTTCAGAATTATTTCAGAAACATTCTTTCACCATCTTATCTTCTTGTTCCTAAAAAGACTGAGTGTATTTCCTACAAAAAAAGCCTTAAATGTAGTCTTTTGAAAAAAAAAAGATTTCAATTCGAAAAATTTGAAAAACGTTTCAAGATAAGACATAATACTTCATTATTTTAAAGTAAAAACGAGAAAAAATATTTCTTTTTTTAAACGGGGCTTGAATGAAGTTATTGAAGTTTTCCACCGTTTTACATATCACCCTGTACGAAATTTACTTAAAGAACCGTGAGCTTCATTTCTATAGCATGAATTTTCAGAGGATGGGGCTAGCAGATATCAGAGACCAAAATAAAATCGTTTAAGAAAAAAAAAGTTATGTCGTTTTGAAAAAGGACGAACTTTTTGGTCGCGGCACATTGAGTGGTGCGCAGTTTAGTTCGAAAGAGTCAGGGACTCACGTACTAAAAAATGGGGGGACAGTTCTAAACTATTTGGCAATTGTTTTTTGTTTCTTTTTTTTTCAGATTTATGTCAAGGAACCAAATTATAAATTAATACCTTATACAATACTCAAATTAGTCAAAAAAATCAGTTTAAAACTTTGAACGTTTAAACAAGTATTATTAATGGTATTATAAAAGTTATACTACTATACTTTTTCTCAAGAAATATATGGTTAACGAATTGACCTCCTTTTTCTGGACACCCTGAATAATGATTAATTTCCATTAAAAATGAGAAATTGTGACAACTAATTCATTTCTTCTTCATTTATAATCAGTTAGTGGTAAATAAGAAGCAATTTAAAAGATGACAAAATGATAAGTTTTAATTTTAACCATTAAAAAACACAGTACAGTTTTTTATTTTTGAACATACTTGGTAAAAAAGCGTTAATGTCACTTAACGTTTTTTTAGAAACGGAGCTTGTAAATTGCCTTCATACTGACATTCCGCTCTAGCCTTCAGATGAAAATTAACGAAATGAGTTCAGCTTTTGTCATAGAAAATTATTCTCTTTAACTGCATAAGATTTATTTATTTTTGTACTGGTTCATTTTCCGAACCATTTGCTTGAAATTAAAGTGAACATTAACGCCCTTTGAAATCTTGTGACGAATTTACAAGCTTCTCCAAAATGTTAGTAAGCGCAACTTTAAATTTATTTATTTCGCTCTTTGCGACTAAAAACTACAGCGTTTTTTTCATGCACTAAAAAATGCAGAATATCTTGACGAGTTTAACGCTTTCAAAATCAAATTTTCTTTAAAAATAATAGTAAACGGTCCTGCAAGGGTACTTTTAGTTATTTAACAAGGACAATATTTTTAATTATTTTAGCTTTTTAACCAACTTAAAGTTAAAGTTATGTGCGAGGGCATTTTGAATAAGTCATTAGTATTTCCAAAAGATTGCTCCGCAATTATAAATTGTTGCAACAATTCACAAGAACCATCCTTCAAACGATTACTGTTAAAATGTCTAATAATCTGTTTTAATTTTACAAGACTTTGCATCGAGTAACTTTTGCATTTTTTAAAAACAACAAAATAGGTGAATTTCGTGACAGATCGAGTTTTAGTTTTGTGGTGTAACATAAAACATTTTAAGCCGCATTGAAATAATATCAAGAGGTAATAAAATATACATAATAATAAAATGTACATTTTTGAAATTTTATTTATTCAACCATAGTTTGCATGAGTGTGTTCTGTGTAGATATATTCATTTTGAGGTTTTTTTTACGATATAAAACGGAAACCTGTTAACTACTTATTACAGAGGTTACCTGTTTCCTATGATGGCATACTTATAAGGGTTCACTGTGATTGTGTTGGCTGACCCAAAAATGAAAATATTTGTCTATGAATTATTACATTACAGTACCTGATGGTAATTATGTTCATTTTAAAGAATTTTGGATTTTTAACTATTATATTTTGTTTACTAATTATTGTCTACTTATATAAACATTAGATTCTAGCGGTGTGTGCCATTATAGGAAACGCTGTTGCCTATGATGGCATAGTCGTGGTATTAATCCGGTATCCAATAAAAAAGGAAGCAGGGATAACTTAGGTTGTGTGAAGCTATAATGAACATTTATGGTCTTTCTTATTCTCTAGACTTGCCCCCTGTGACTTTTTTTAGAAATAAAAACCTGGAAAGAAATATACCTTAAATGCTAAAGTAAGCTACAGGAGCATTTTTGACGAGAACGTGCCATTGTTCTATATGAATGAATGAAGGAAGAAAGTTAGAGAATCGTTAAATTAAATGTATTGAGGTTAAAGGAGATTACGTTAAAAAATTAAAAATAAACTAATTTTTGTACTTATTCTAAGGACTTATCAATATGCCTTCGTGGTCAAGTATTAAATTTGGTAAAAATTATTACTTTTAAAATTCAAACATTACACTGTGTTAAAAATTTGGGGTGAATTTTAAACCGGATTTCACTGATTTTCCTTTAAAGTATACTCATTTAATAATAAAATCCTCACTGGGATTGGTAAAGTTAGCTTAAATTCTGTTTTATGGCCTTATGAAGTTTTTCAGTTTTGGGTAAATTATTGTAAATTTACACGTCAAATTTTTCTTTTGGCAATTTGTTGATGTTTCTCGTTCCGACTCTATGTGAAAAGGTTTCTCATCTCAAAATAAATTATGTTAAAGAAGATTTAATACGTTAAAATTTAGTTTTTAGTGTCAATGTTCTTTTAAAATTGCCACTTTCCCCTTTCTTTAGTATACTTCACTTAATATTAGTTTTTATAATTTAAGACCATAAAAAAAATAAAATAAAATTAATGTTTTAAAAAAATTTAAAATTTTGTTTAAATAAAATTTAAATTTTTGAGTTTAATGTTCGAAATGTTTCCATTTTTATAATTTTATGTAGCCCATGTATTACTTGCATTATTAAATGTCAATATTTTTTTAATTAACTTAATTAAGCTATTTTTTTAATTTTCCGAGTTAAAATAATAATTTAAAGAAATGTAAGTTTGTAAACTTTTGAAGTACAACTTTGTTTTTCTTTATTACCAGGTGTTGGCAACATGGTCACTTTAAAATCCCTAAACTTAGTTCAAGAAATCCCTAGAATTCCTTAGTTTTAAGAATAATTAATCAAAAGAGTATAAATAAAAATGTTACTATTTAAATTACTAATGGCCACTTGCACCGTTTTCTCTAACTGATAAGTTAAATAGACAAGTTGAAAGGTAACAGGAGATTAGTGTCCAAAATCTTGCACCGTGATTTTTTTACTATGGTTTAAAATTTAACTAGTGATCTAGAAAATTTGACTAAAAAATGGAAAAGATGGAATGGAGGATAACTAACTTCACACTTATTTGTGACGCAAATATATTTTGACGTTAAGAGTTCGATTCTTTGTAATCTGTGGTTCGATTCTATTTCATGTATGACCGATTC